GCAGGAGCACAAAGATCTCCCCGCAGTGCCGCTTGCTTCATTTTCTCAAACCTCCTTGTGCCTAGAAAAAATGGATGAGCAGAATGCAGTACACTAAAAACACCGTAAATTTAAATTCTGAGGCAATCCTCTCCATCCCAATTGAAAGCGCGCGCACTTAAACACTGCGTAAACCATGAACAGAAACCAAGCCACCCAAACCATGGAGGGTTTTCCAAGCTCTCAAGCAAACTCGAACGCCCAGCAACTCCCAAGGGCGTTCGTCCTTAAACTTCTCCTTGATTCGGTCAAAGGCCTGAAAAACACCACAAGAAGTAAGAGTAAGCCAAACGGCCCAAAAGCACTACAATACAAGAAAAACACCACCCAGCAAAAACTAGAAACAACTGCTGAGCACAAGCGTGTCTCGATGGTATCTTGATCAAGCTTGTGCAATGAGCACCAATGACAGCGAAAGTTCAAAAGATCTTGGAACTTGCTTTGGGAGACAAAGTTCTCAAAACAATTGCGTTTCGAACATTTGCATCTTCTCGCAAGGGCAGCACGGAGAGCCACTGCATCATTCAAAGGTGTCCTTTTCTCCCCTGAAGAAGACTTTTGTCTTTTGGGAGGGTCTGGTTCATCAGGATCGGCACTTACACTTTCACCGCTCAAATCACTGACCGTCGAGCTAAACGGCATCGATCCTGACTTACTCGACACCGACCATGGCTAAGCGTGACCCTTCTGATAAAATACTGTAAGCCTAACTACAGCTGTTGTTTGCAGAACTTCCCACACCGAAAGCCATATTCTACACACCGCATAGAAACCCTCTTTGAACTTTGAACATGTTGACAATCAAATCAGCCTTAAGCAAAGTCGCTTCAACAAAACATCCAAAAACATGTCAGCTCCGTCTTAGACGAGCCAAAAAGCTACGCTGTTGTACTGGCAAAAGGTTGGGCACCAACCAACCACACACCACAGCTGCAACATCGCTGACAAGCAGGCCGGCCTGGTTGTTTTCAATACAACCCTGGAAATCACGAATTGCAAATCGTGCGCCATACGTTCACAGCAGTTGCCCTTGAAAATGGCTAATTTAATGTTTGTTTCACATAGTAACTCTATTGTATGAGTAATTATGAGTATATAGTCACATGAGTACTCGTATATATAATATATATATATATATATAATAAGCAAAAATACAACAAAACGATCTTCACAGAAGTTGTTGCTGGACATCCGCTGATCTAATTAGTAAGATGAATTGCTCGAAAGATTTGATGTGAAGAGACCAATCCTCACAAAAAGGCCTGGCAAGTCTAACCTGCTCGTTGGACTGCAGGCAATTTCGCTTCCAGCCCAGCAACTTGACAAGCGTACTAGCTTCCGCTACTAAAACAACCTGGCCCAAATCTCAAGGCCCAAAGCAGCCTGTGCTGGAACCACAATATTGCCTAAGCACTTCAGCCTTTGTTTGGTTGTCTCCACTCGCTCATGCTCCAGCCACTGTTCTGGTGGTGGCCGGTTCAGAGGGTTCCACAGTGCCTGGAGGTGCTTGTCCAAGGATTTTAGCTCCAGGCCCTGCGCCAACACAATCAAACAAGAAGGGCCATGACATGCAAAGGGTAATCACATTAAAAGGGCGATCAAAACGAAGAGAATGAAAAAGACGTTCGTCTCCTGCAAGACATCATCCCCTGGCTTGCTTGCCAAGATGAAGATCCGTTCCCTTTTCGCCTGAGATACAAGCTAAATTGCTGACATCACTGAAAATGGTTGGTCAAAGGATGCACTCAAAAAGGATGTCAAGAGTGAAGGGCAAGGCCTCGAACCCGACATGGACCAAGGAAGTTGTACTCCAGCGGATCTCGAACCCCCGGGCTTGGCACTCCTTCCACAAACAGTATCAAAGAGTTGGCTCAAAGGCTCAAAGGCCTCACAGGCCCTGCGAGTTTAAGGAAGACCCCCGCCTGAACCAAGTAGAGGAACAGTTGTCTCATTTCCGACTTGGCACTCAATAGCGCCGAAACATTCTCAAGGTAAATGAATCGCCTGACAGATCGCTCAAATGTAAGCGTGTCAAAAAAAAGTGACTGCAACAGAAGCTTAAGGCAAAAACGCGTCACACTGGTCGACGATGTCAAAGCAACATCGCACAAGTGATGTACGATCGTCGTCTAGTCCAAGCTGATCTCCAGCGATGCTTACGCCCTTAGAAAAGTTGAAGCTTGCAATCATGGCAAGCCATCAGAGCTTGAGTTGCGGACTTGACAAGGAAACCCTCCTCCGCAGCCACAACCTCTCACAGCGTTGCTCTTGGAAACATCGAAACTGCGGATGTCTTCGTGAAGCATGGACTGGTGGAGAAGCCCTTCGCTCATTCGAGCGGAGAGCACTGAGCGGCAAAAGGCGTTTGCCTCTACCTGAGAAATTTTCAGGCAGCTAGAAAACACATCAGTTAAAAAAAACTGCAAGACAACAACATGAGGACCCCACACAATCCGTTGGATAGATCCACCTCCAGTACCCCACTGTGTTCTGGGAATTTGACATCAACAAAATTTCAAAAAAACGCTGGGACCCGAACTGGCTCAACCCCAACTCAAGTCCACCGACTCCGGTGAACAAGCTGACGACTGGCAACTTCTGGTCCTGTCGCAGTGCGATGGGCCATGACTATTGTTCCTTCAGTGAAACTCAGTCCTTGCCCATGGCAAAGGGAAACATGGTTTTGAATGCTGCTGGATCCACTGCATTGGCGCGTGGATTGGTCCAGTTGGCAGGGAGTCCTGGAAGTTTGCACTTAAAGAACCTTGTAAACTTGGGACATGAGAAAGTCCTGCCATCCACTCTCCGCAAGCGGTTGTCAGGTACTTTGCAGGCGGCATGTTTTTGGCCTTCATGAGGTTCTGATAGTCCTTGCTGTAGCGAATCTGGTTGGCCAAATCCTCGCACGAAAGAAAGGTAATGTCCCAAGTGGGTGTCTTAAGAGCCCATACAGGTCTAAGAACCTCACACTGATGGCCCTTGGTGATACCATGCCCCGTTCAGCAGCTATTGTTGTTGCGCTGTAGCAACCTGGTCGTAATGGTTTTGAAAGGAGCACCAACATATGACCACAGTTGTCTTAAGATCGCTGCGCAAAGTCCCCCAATGGGCAAAGGTCCGGCGGCCGTGGAAAATAGCGGTGCCATCTGCCTTCTTCTCTTGTCGGCGTCTGTTAACCTGCATGGGAGGAAAACGACATTGCAGCAAGATCTGACGTGTCCACACAATATGCCAAGAAACCACTTCCAAGGACATCTTGGGAACGCTACTCAACTTCAGAGTGCATTGGCTCACAAGAAGTGAGCCGTTCCGTCCAGGAACAGTCTCCGGGACCCAAGGGATCACACCAAAGCGGGGCAACCGATCCTTGCATCACAGCATCAAAGCCGATCTAGCTAGCAGAAAAAAAACACATCAAACGTCCACAACTAGCAGTTTCGGAGACTTGCAACTTGGCAACTGCCCTGGACACAGTAATCTCTGCTCGTGGATAGTATTCGGGGGATGCATCTGGCGGCGTGGAGCTTCTTTTCTTGGCCTTTGGGCGGCCCAAACTCGACTTACAAGTTAGGGTTGCTAAAGAAAGGCCTTTTTCTCGGCTCTCTTCTTCATAGCCTGCCCAAAATTTAATCTCCGCAAAATTCAATTGCCCCACAATGCAATTTGCCAACAGTTAGCCTGCTAAGACAAACTATGAAGTTCTTGGCCTTTGTCTTCTTCTTCACCGGGACCTTGCCCTTCCGCTGCGCTTCCGCTTCCCCTGAAGACCTTGCTAAATTTGGGTTGAAGCGAAGACAGAAACAGCAGCAACAATAACAGCAACAGCAGCAAGAGCCACAACCACAACCTCAACCTGGACGACGACAACAAAAACAACAGCAGCAGCAGCAGCAGCAACAACAACAACAATAGCAGCAGTAGCAGCAGCAGCGGCAGCGGCAGCGGCAGCGGCGGCAGCAACAACAACAACAACGTCCAAGCTACAAGGACAATGACATGAGCAAGGGAAAAGGCACAATAGAAGCTGTTCCCATACACATATAAAACAGCTGAGGTAAGGGCATGCTCAAGGCCGAAACTGTTCGCTTCATCGGCATTTTGCCAAAAACAGGGCGATTGATCCAACAAGAAAAGGCTGCAACTCACAAGCCGCTCGCAATCTGAAAAAGAGCAGTGCGCAAACGGCTCTCAATCTCTGTAAATAACATCACAACCTCTTGAAATGGAGCAAAACGTTCACTGCTGCACCAAACAAGAAACAGACCAAATGGCCAACTGTTTCAAACAAAAACTTCAACACCAACCGGGCATAGTATTCAAACCATTGGCTTGGTTGGACATATCTATTTCTCATGTTCGGCGTGGCATCCTAAAGGGTCATGCTCCCGGGGTGCATGAAACTTTAGGATCCCAAAGCTTTTTTTTCCTGGTGGATGCTTCACTGTCACACTCATGATCAGACTCACTGATCCATGAGCTTTGAAGCTGATAGACTGATCAGACTCACTGATCCATGAGTTTTGAAGCTGATAGACTGGTAGTGGAGCACTGTTCTCAAAGCCATCTCGATGGAACACCCATTCACTTTGGAACACCCATTCAAGGGAAAATTCTTTTAGTTTGGAGGCCATCGCTATTAGGTTGGATGCCATCGCTTCTAGGATGGAGGCCATCGCTATTAAGTTGGAGGCCATCGCTTCGAGGATGGAGGCCATCGCTAACGCTTCTA